GAAATCAACAAGACAGAAATGAGAGAAAGAGGAAGAGAATCATTTTGTGACTTTGGCTGCCACCCAGAGTCATGGTTTCATTCGGGCCTAAGCTGCTGCTGAGGGCCATGTCTGGGTTCAAGGACCTGCTATAGATGGGGTCTGTGTTGAGATCTGTGGCCCCTGCTACCACAGGGTGTCATAGGAACCATATGTGATGAAATCAGAGGGCTCTGCCAGGCCACTGTGCCATTTCCAGGCAGCCTTGGTGGTCTGGACTGACCAGCTCAACTATTACTCAGGCACACATCCAGGACATTAGGTTGGGCCACCCTGCTGGAGAGCATGAATGGATTGGTCCGGTGAAATGATAGTCACAGGATCTCCAGGAATGGGGCCGTATCAGGATATTCTAGAGGAGTTTCAATGAGAGTCCAGTGATGATGATGTATCAGAAACCAAAAGCCTTGAACAAGACCAATGACTCACTGCAATGAACATTTACAAGTAAAGCTGTTTGGATGAAAGGATATACTGTTTGACACACTGTAAATCGCAATGCCACTAAGATGAGTAAAGAGTTGATGGAGTGAACAAAAAGATGGAAGCAGCTTTTTGTTTGTTTTTATTTGTGTTTTTTTTTCTATTTTTTGGAAGGAGGGGATGCTGAAATCGTGAAGGGTAAACATGAGGGGATGGGGAAATAAGGCAAATTGGGGTGCATGATGTGAAATTCCTAAAAAATAATTGAAGAAATTATGTGTAAAAATGTCATTTTGAGAGCTGAACCATATGACAGGGAGGCTGGTAAGATTTTCATGGTAGAGACGTGTCCACAGGACAGTTGAAATCTATAGTCAGCATGAAAGCACAGTTGCTCTGTCTCTGGAGAACTCAGGTTCTTCTCTCAAGGGTTTCAGTCTATTGGAATCAATTACTTAATAGAAGGTTGCCACTTTTACTCAATTCTGTAAATTTGAGTGCATCTAAATAAAGTCTACTGTGAGGACAATAGGCAGACTGATACTTTACTAAATACTTGTATGTTGTCACCTAATCAAGTTGATATACAAAATGAATTACAAATCTACTAGTTAAACAATAGTCATTAAGATAACTCAATACATATCAATAGAGTATTTTCATGAAAACAAAAACCTGGAGCACAGAAATTAAATCATTATTTGAATTTTCATAGCAATTTGTTAGCACTACTTGCATGTTACTCCCAAATAGGATACTAAATATCCTAAGTATCCTAAGTGGGATACTATCTCCTAAATATCATTCACAATTCTTCATATCTCAAAATAAGAATTCTATTAGTCAGTTTTCAGTGCTGAAAGTACAATAGCATACATTATAAGAGTTTGACAAAATAGGTTTGGTCAAATCATTGTTCTGAAATTCTAAGATCAGGGACATATATCTATTGAAAGCCTTCTACTTTTGGTAACACAAGTCCCAAGAGGGAGGACAGGGAATCAACAAGGTAGACATAAAGGCATACAAGCATAGACACTCGTCTTCTGCTCTTTTTCTTATGAAACCACATGCATTTGCTTCTGTGGTTCCATTCATATGCTATTATCTAACTCTAATGACTTTCCAAAGATTTCACACTGAAAGTCTAACAAGAGACTTCCCATTTCCTTAATACCACAGCAAATAAATTTCAATATTCAAAGAAATTCAAAATTGTAGCACAGAATTACTGTATTTTATTCTGATATAACAAATCAAGGATTCTGATATAGAAAAAGTATTGTGAAATACAGTTATCCCCCAGTGCATACTACAGACATGCTTACAGTCTACCATAGTTGATCTGGCCTTTGTGTGCTCAAGTGATTAGATATACTGTGAACCCCTGACAAGTGGATATGTCTTTATGCATGACTCAAATTTGCTTATTACATCATGTTACATTAGACAAGTCAGCAAATCCCTGTTCATGCTAAGGAAAGTTATTATGCAATAAAATGGATAGACTCTACAGTAATGTATTTTAAAAATGACATTTACATGGGCTTTTCTAAAATTTCAGGACAATTTTTTTAAAAATGAATATTGTAAAAGTTTTAAATAATTTGAGCACTTTCAAAATATGTAAAAAGAAAACCTCTTTTTGATTAAAAATGAGTATATAATGTCCCAAATTTCACTGAGCATCAGATAATAAATATGGCTACCTATTTACTTGTAAAAATGAATACTATGTGACAGCAAAGGAAGATTTTGACCTGATTTTAAAAGAGCAAGCTCTTTTACTAATAATAACTATAACAACGGGATCATTTGAATGTGAATTTCCAAGTGTGGGCAATTTGAACTCTACCCAGGATTCTATAAAAGATTTATTAGGGTAGAGGTTTCATCCACACAGCTTTTTACATTTCAATATGTGCCATCTATACTTGAGATAGGACTAAATTTTGCTTTTGACAGTTGAATAAAATGAACCCTCTTTCGTACCAAATCAAATAGTTATGTTCACAAAAATTATTGGTTATTATAATAATAACTCTATCTATGTACTTTTGAATATAAAACTCAAATGTTCATAACACACACCCCCTTCCTAATTCATAATTTCATTGAAGTAGGAATCAAAAACATGACAGCAATATATATCCTTTAACAATGTTTATTTATTGAGACAGAATAAATTGCTGCTTAAGCATTTGACCAGTGATAGAACATTACTGATTGCCCTTTTAGAGACAGATAAGGACTGGAGAATTGGCTCAGTGGATAGGAGCACTTTTTGATTTTGACGTGATTCTGGTTCCATTCCAGCACCCACATGATGACTCACAACCATCCAGGGATCTGACATTCTCTTCTCATCTCTAAGGGCACTAGGCATTCATGCAGCACACAAATGTACTTTCAGGCAATCTAAAAACAAACAAAAAATGCTTTATTTTTGTATATGGGCTCTTAGATGAATTTTCTTGCTTGAAAAGTTACATTCACTATCAAAAGTCTTAATTTTTAAAAACCATGGTCCAAAACCTCAGCATTACAAAACCAGTCTTGGCTAAGTATTTCATTACTAAGGCTAAATTGGCTAAGGAAAAGATTATAATAGTAACTATTAGTAGCAAAACACAGTTCATACAGATTAACTACATTGTAGACATTATTTTAAGATATATTACAGCCTCAAAAAGTGAAGAAAAAATAATTTTTAGAAGAACTGAGAAGATAAACATATAAAAAATTTTACACATTCATTTAATTCTCAAAAACATCTTTTGAAATAATCACTGTCTTAAATTTAAGTATAAGGGCATTGTTTATGTAGAAAATAACACTTAAATAGCTTGTTAAGTTCTTATGCTGGTTGGTAAGGAGCAGTGTGGTTCACTGTTGTGGTCTCAATCACTTCTTACTTACAATTTAATTTTCAAAATTTGAATGAAACAATTAGATACCCGTTCCTTTCAATTTGTGCCTATTTGAATTAAATTCTGTTTTACTGTCACTATTATACATCCCTGAATGACTAAATATATTATATCCAGTTGAAAAGGTCCACTGGTAAAAACATTAGAAAATATTACTGAGTGAGCATTATAAAAGACAAAAATTAATAATAGCTAAAATGCTGTAAGAAGTTGCATTATCTCGGGGAATACTTTTAGGGTTCCATGCAGTAGGTCATTTATGACCTCCCTGCTGGACCAGTAGCTGGTTGACTTCTGGTTATGACCTCAGTTCAGGAGCAGTAGTTGTTTTACCCCGAGTTATACCTTCAGGGCAGGCAGTATTATTGCTTTCTCTCTATAGATAGATCAATGTGATGATTTATTTACAGTGCAAGTAATGAAATTTCCATCTAGAGAGTTATAGTGACAGCTATGTGTGAGAAAATACCAAAGTTAAAAGTCAGGTAGCAACAGTAAAATTTTAAAAACAAGAAGATTATCCATCTTGCTTGTTTATCCTGAAATTGATTTCAAATAAAATATGGTTCGAAATTGACCCTTAGAACATGATAAATAGAAAAGAGCAAACAGCCATTCTCCACCACTATGTTAGAATAGAAAAGTGCTCAGGCCAATTAAACACCAATATTAAGTCAAAATTAAACATTTCCTAAGCACAAGGCAAAATTAAGCTGTGAAGCTATTCTGTTATTTTGTAGCTACCTGGATAGAAATAATAAGCAAATGAATTTGACTTCCTTTTTATAAAATAGAAGGTTTGGATCAGATGAAATTTAAAATTCTTATAGTATCTCTGATTTATTATTTCCTGTACCTTATAGAAATTTACAAAAGGACCTTACAGTGCACATACAGGCAGCACCAAGTATACTCAGTGGGTTCAAAAGAGACCACATAAAGTTGAGACTGAAAAATAGTAGGGGATACAGGAAGAATAGAAGACTAAGGAAGGGGGACAGATTTCATTCAAAACATTATATGAAATGTGTGGATTTCTCAATAAAAATGTAAAATACTCAGAAGTTTTGCAGATGATTTTAGAAGTCATTGTTCATATTATTCACTTGTACTTATAGTCTTTTGCTGATGCAATTTGTATTTTCCTCTATTCTGTAGGTCACCTTGTTAGAACACATTGGCAGTCAGTTAAAACAGCATATGATTAGTTGTGAACACAGATAGTATTTTAATCCTTGTGATGACAGAGGGTCTATCATTTGAATAACAAGGAATGTAAAATAATTTTTTTTAAAAAAATCTATGAAAAAGCACAATATGCTATAAAGATCTTGGTTTGCATTTCTTTTTGCTTTGTTTTTTTTTGTTTGTTTGTTTGTTTGCTTGCTTGTTTTGTGACACTTCATTAAACAGATCAAAAAAATCTATGAAAAAGCACAATATGTTATAAAGATCTTGGTTTGCATTTCTTTTTGCTTTGTTTTTTTTTTTTGTTTGTTTGTTTGCTTGCTTGTTTTGTGACACTTCATTAAACAGATCATTACTGATAGAAACTCATTTGACTTTATTTATATGATTAGTTTCTTTCCTGTTCTTACATTTGTATAGATTTGGATAATGTAGAAGGCATTGCAGTAGACTGGATTGGAAATAACCTTTACTGGACAAATGATGGTCAAAGAAAAACCATTAATGTGGCCAGGCTGGAAAAGGCTTCTCAGAGCCGGAAAACCCTTCTGGAGGGAGAAATGTCCCATCCCAGAGGAATAGTGGTGGATCCAGTCAATGGGTATGTAAGCCTGCTTCTGATATTTTTTGTTTTATATATATTAACAATTGCAATTTCTCTTTAGAGTCATATGAATTGGAGAATCCCCACGGGAATGGACAGATTGAGTTTTCCTCCTCGAAAATATACTAGATAAAAATAGCAAAATGCACTGAACTAAATAAAATAAACAATTATTTGAACACAGGATATGTTACTTCAATATTTAAAATTAAGCTGTATTAGATAACCTAACACTAGGACAAGTAATCATACAGTCAGAGTCTCTATTGGTTAAACTTTTAGGTTAATGAAATTTTGTGTATTGAGAACTAAACACACATTCTGTACAATTACTGTGAACTAGGCATTTTTCTAAAGTAGTTACTATGTTCATGTTGGCAACAGTCACAAAGTCTATTTAATGATAGCTGCTCTTCTTCCCTTTCTTTGAATAAAGGAATTAAATGATCAAGGTTCCTAGTTCATGCAATTGCTGACAGGGTGTGATTTTAAATCCAGGCAGTCTGTCCACAAAGGTTTCTTCTTCACACCATCCTATTCCTTATTGTGTGTCAGCAGCATCTCTAAGCTTACTTATGGTTTAAACATGGGAGCATGACCTTATAATTTTATAGTTAATATTGTATATAATATTATATGTAATATTAATATTTTTCCTTCAGACCTATGATATGAACATAAAATGTGAAAATTTGTTACAGAAATTAAACATTAATTGAACAGATTACCTAGTTTATATTTCTAGTTTCTGTATACATGTGTCCTTTCACAGCCAAGAAAACATGATTACAAATGGATAGTCTTTGAATTGATGCATACCTTAAAAACGAATAGTGTAAGGTGTCTATTCTACACTGAGATCAAAGAGACACAACTTCTAGAACTTTATTATTTGAAAATAACTTCAAACAAAAGCAGGGTACATCTACCAAGGGAGTAGATGAATCATTGAATGTGCTATCAATAAATAACTATACTTTAATTCTGTCATTTTCATGAATGACTTCCATGATTATTCTATTCTTGAAATATCCATTTCATGTTGTCTAAATCAACTTCAATCTAAATTTCCTTGGTGAAGATGAAATGTTAAAAGAGAACAAGATGATAATAGAGCTTTGTGTTTTATCTTCAGTGAAAAGATGGACTTGGAGGTGTCAGGTACACCCTCATTTCAAAGAGCTTAATACTACTTATGTCTGAAAACTGGTTTAGAAATCAGTGGGAGTAGCCATGGAAATCTGTGGCACGATTCTTTCAAGTAGTTATTGGAAACATGTCTGACAATAAAAAGGAGCATTAGCCCAGGAATTTGCATTCCAATGTTTCGAAATTTAAGTAAAATATTTTTAGAGTGAGAACTTTATGTTTTCTTTTGCTATCCCATAGCTCCATCTTTTAGAAGTACAAAGGGTAACTCATAATTCATTGCAGAGATATTCTTCATCAAAAGTATTAGACAATTCTGGGGTCAAAAGTATTACGACTTTCTTTAATTAAAAATCCAAGCAACTAACATATATCAATAGAAACATGGAGGGTAATAACTGCCCATCTAAAACGTGTGACTTTTGTGAATAGTACAAATTCACACAGCTACAAATAACAGCTATTGGAGCATATTGATAATGCTGCTCTATTCACAACAGCAAGGAAATAGAAGACTAGATGTCCTATAAATAGATGAATGGATAATGAATATGGAATACATACATGATGCCATTTTGTTAGCTGTAAAAAAAATTAAATTATAAAGTTTCAGGAAAATAAAGCTGGAAAATACATTAAGGTGGCTCAGACTCAGAAATACAATGTTTTCCTGTTGTCCCCTGAGTTCCCTCGGATCACATTTATGTGTATGTATGCATATAAGTGGAGATAAGTGTGTCTGTAGGCTGGAAAACTAGAAGGAAGCCCACAGCTGGAAGAAAGGAGGCATGGATGAAATGTAGCCAAAGGGGCACATGTGACATGAGAACAGAGAGGAAGCTGTCTAGGGAATGTATCAAACCTTAGAAGCAGAGATAGCAGCTCAAGAAGAACTCAGGGAGAATTAACAATAACAAATTGTGTTTGCAAATGCTACAATGAAACCTTGTGTGTATGTTAAGTTTTTCAAATAACAAAAATAAAGAGGTGTGAAATAGAGAGTGAGGGCAAAAGAAAGAACAGATCAAGGAGGGAGGTGTAAACTCGAGGGTTTATCAGTGTGGCGATGAGGATGAGTTTGGACTCATTTAGCTAACTGATTTATTTTAAGGGTTTCAACATAAAAACCATATTTATATATTGGAAGCTCATTTGGGTCTTAGCATCAGTAATAATGGTAGAAAGGTGGCCATGGCAACAGGAGATAATGAAGGATTAGACCCAAATGCAACAAGCTGACAACAGAATGGAGCTGTAGAATGAACAGAGCTAGTGGCACTATGTTACGATAAATCTTTTTGCTAAAAGCCACACAAGCCCCACCGCCACATGTGCACTTTACGCCAGCCGCCCGCCTGAGTTAGGGCCCCAATTAATGCACAGAGAGACTTGTATTAGGTACAAATGCTGCTTGACCAATGACTAGGATTTCTCATCTGTTAGCTCAGTCTTAATTATCATAAATCTATACATTTTATAAGACTTATCTTATAGACGATGCCTTTCACCTGCACCCTCTCTTGCCGGTGGCTCACATGACACCGCTGGGGGAGGAAGGGAAAAAAAGGGCCACTTCCTGTTTCTCCTTGCTAAATATGAGTCTCCTTGCTATGTCACTTCTGGCCTGGATCACCACTTCTCTATTACATTTCCCAGAATCCCCTTTGACTCCTAGTCCTGTCCAACTTGCTGTTTCATTGGCCAAACAGAACTTTATTTAACAATCAATAAGATGACAGAAGTACTTCCCCCATCAGCACTATCCCTGACACTGGCTGCTACTGGTGAACCAACTCTGTTCCAGTATCTCACATGACACCATCTATACAAACAATAGCTCTCTAGTTTAGCTTTCTCACAACATTATCTCTGTAATGTATGTCCACAGCTGAGTACAGAATTTCCACAATAAGCATCAGGCATTGCTCTCTGAAGTTATAATGTGAGACCACACATTTTAGCTATTAGGTAGATACTGTGTCAATAAGCCAAATTAAGTCTTCAGTGGGAAACTGATCACTATTACGTCCATGGCCGTGGAGCTTTTAATGATTTACATATTTTAGGAATTCACCAATTAACTCTGCAATTCCATTTGTGAGCATAATTATTCTCAACAAATCCAAACTTACTACTTCTAGTACAGTTATAAATAAGGGATAGGTATCTCTTAATTATAATCTTAATTGGAATTAGCAGATATTCAGTGTTTAATACTACACAAAGAATGTGTATAACACATATTCTAGAAAATGACTAAGGAATCAAAGAAAGACCTTATCTTTATTCTTGTCTGCAGATAGGTTGGGAACAGACTCTATAAAGACAATGCATTTTACCAGGCCTTTAAAGTAAAGGTAGATACTTTTTGTCTGCATTAACTGAAGGCACCGGTGAGTAACCACAATTGTAAATTATTTTATTTATCTTGCTCCCTACTTATTTTCTAGGCTTTTTTGCTGCTTTTATTTATTTAAGAATAATCATTTTCCTTGATTATAAGACATTTTAAATGTTTAAGCAGATAGTGGAACATGTAGATAATTGTAGAGTAAAAGGTCTGTGCCTACTTCTGGGTTTGAAAACCTACTAATACCCACCAATTCCTGAGATTGAAATCCCACCAATCCCTGAGTTTCCAAACCCACCAATTCCTGAGCCTCAAAACCTACCAATCCCTGAGGCTCAAAACACATCAATACCTAAGCTCAAAACCCCACCAGCCCCTGGGCTTGGCTTGAAATTTCACCAATACCCACCCTAGAAATCTCCAGTGGAAAAATTCCACCCACCCCCTTGAAACCCCTGCTTTCTTCTCAGTTCTCAGCTGTTTCTTGTCTGTGCAGAGACAGCCACTCTCTTGTGTTTCTTTCAGTAAATCTCTTATGTAAGGTTTGTTGCTCAGTATTATTCTGTGGTATTCCTTGATTTGTGACTGCCAGGATATTTTTCCTTCCAGAGATATAAAAACTCCATTGGGGAAGTTTTTCACCTCAGAACTGTAACACTAACTAGGTTAGGCTCCCCTGGTGCCTCCTCCCCATCAGTGTCTGATATACACTGGAACCTCACCCCTCATCTTCAATCCAAATGCAACAGAATCATCTTCATGTTCACTGATTGCTTAGTTTCTCAGCACTGTACTGCAAAGCAGCAACTTGGTAAATTCCCCTTTTAGTTGGTGCAAATGCTTCCCTGATTGCAAATAAGTTTGTGTTGAGTACTTGGCATCCCTCGGCTACTCTTGGAGGCCCAGGTACCTCCAGCTACAGTATTCAGGGATATGGTTGGCCCTCTTAACCTGACTCCATCCTTTACACAAACTTAGAGCTATAATCCTGGAACTTGCTTAGGCCCAAACAGGCTATTTCAGCTCTTCCTGTCCTCTTCCACTATCTTCACTTTGGAGCTGCCCATAATCCCAGAGCTCCTTTAGCCCCTTTTGCTAGTACATTTCCCAACACTTTCCAATGGATGAAACCTCCTTCCTGAGCTCAGTTTTTGTTGCCTATAAGAAAGCCTTGGGGACTCAGCCAAAGCGTTGGTACCAGACACCAAGTCTCCTCAACAGGGTAATAGTCCTGACCCCACACCCTATTGAGGGCAGAGACACCCCACTGAGCGAATTGGTCCTCATTAGGTCTTCTGAGTCCTGGGGATGCCCTCAACTACAGGTTTCCTCAACCCGCCCTTCTCATCCATGGGAACAGTTTCATCCATACCCTCTCATTACCTGTTGGAATGACTTTAGAAAACCTGAAGCATTTTCATCTGGCACCCAGCCTGAAGGAACCTAAACTTGTTCACCTTTGCAATCAAATTCTGCCTCAGTACCCAATAGGGAATGA